ATGCTCCAAGACTTTGACCAGTTCCAGTTCGAAAGAAAAGCCACATGAAGCCGCTGAATCGAAGGCTCATGGAGTTGAAGAGGAGGCGCTGACCGCGTGGAGAACGATTCCTGAAGCCACGAGACCACCTCATCCCCCAAGCAGCAGCTTTCTTTATGCAGGTGCTGAAGTGTTTTAGTCTTTTTAGTTGTATACAGAAAGGGGTGAATGTACTTGTGCATAGCAGCATGATGATGGGTACCATCAAGTACCAGGTGGGTGCTCATTCGCTTCAATTCGCAATGAATAATGAGCGCCTAATCACGTGACATCCTTTTTTTTAACATGGGCCGTCCCTTCGTACCAATGCCCTTGAGAACAGATTCTAGGCCTCGGAACCGTCCAGCGGGGAGAACATCCATGAAGATCCGATCTGAGATCTGTGAAGATCCATACAAATTCATTGAGATCTACGAGCATTCATGGCCCTCAACAAGCTCAAGAGCTGCACCCGTCATGGTCTTTCTCTTTTTCTGTCGTTGAGAACCCACGTCGATAGGCGGTTCTCTTCCTGGACCACGCGGATGCCTCGATCGACCTGCAAAAGACGCCGCCCAGCTCGGTCCGAGCGGAAGCGGCGAGCTCGTTCGGTCGTGGAAGTGCCTCGCCGTGTCGCCTCGCCGTGCGACGGTGCTGTGGTGTTGAATCACATGCCTAGGCATATCGCGTGTTCAAGAAGCGCAAGCGCAAACTGGACACGATTCTTTTCTCTGGTCGAAGCCAAGAACGAAGTCAAGAGCGAAGTCAAGAGACTGCTGAGCTAAGGCCAGCTGAGCTGGGTTGGAAAGATACTGTGCAGCTGTGCCTTGGAGAACACACATGCAACACTTGTGCAGAGTCGCTAGAGGATCACATTTGATTCGTTCCACAGTTCGAACAACTTTCTCATTTTAGGCACTCACTTCTGAGCACCCAATTCTTGGGTTTGAGGCAGGACAGGTCGGACAGGTTCCAATTTGCTTCCACTTCTCTCTCTCTCTCTCTCTCTCGCACCTTTCTCCTCAACCTAACCTTGAATTCTTCGATTCGTTTGCCAAAGAATTCCCATTTTTTGACCAACAACTCCTCAAAAATTCGTTCGACGCTTCCGAGGTGTGCGGTGCCTGCCAGTGACGACTGGGCTGAAGGTTCGACGCGACAGCTGACAATCGCTGGTCACTGACTGAATCAATGATCCCAGTCAGCCGGAACATCCTAGGGACCCATAGGCTTCCTGACATCATAGGCCTCAGAACCTGTTTCAGTCTCATAGGCCTCAGAACCTGTTTCAGAACCTGTTTCGCTTGTTGGCTGACTTTGTCGTCTTTTTTCTCAGCATCTCATGGAACATGTCACTCATCACCACTTGCGGCACCACCACTTGCAGCCTCCGCCCTCGCACGCCCTCGCACGCCCAGGTGCGCAGCGCCCGCCCAAACGGCCGCCACGGCCGGCCAAGCGTGCGAAGGTGGAGAAGACGGAGTCCCAGTCGCCTTCCGAGAAGGTGGGCAGAGCCAGAGCGAACTGGTGGAGGATGGGATCTGAATGGGGATTTGATGGTTAGCTGTGGCTTCAGATGGTTTCACAGGTTCGATGGCACACGTTACCCCAAGTTTGGTGGTTTTCTTTTGTTTTGGATCCCCATCTCTTCAAGACGGGTTTGTGCCATCTACATCCATCTACATCCATCAACCACTGTAAAAGTTCCTGTACTTTTCCACTTGTGCAGGTTCCAAAGATCATTTCCTTTTTTCAATGATGTTTTCATTGTTTCGGTTCCTGGCTCTCACAGACATATTTTTCGGCATCATGAAGAGATGTTTTTACTCATTACTCATTACTCCAGGTCTCAATGAATGTAGGAAGCTTGCTTCGTGCAGCGATGACGACTTGTGGAGGTGTGAGTGGACGTCAAGGGACTTTTGTCTGAAGCCAGGCATCCAGCAGTGTGCGCAAAAGCGAGGACTTGGAGGATGCGAAGCCACTGGCAGAGACTCAGATGTGAACAAGTCTTGGAGCTTTTGTGAATTTTCAGCAAGATCAGATCAAGGTCTTGGTAGAGTTGCAGTGTGACAGTCCGATGCGGCCCGATAGGAAGCGAAACGCCGCAACACCGGAGAAAGCATCTTTCCCTACGTACGTCCAGTCTGACCCAATCAAACCTGGTCTTTGACCTCCCTTTTCGTCGTGTTTTTGGTATGACCAAGTCAAATAAACATGAGCTCATTGAGTCATTGACATTGACCTTTGGTCCTCAATTCCTCAATTCCTCGGGACTTTTCACCGAGCAAGCTCAGGACTTGGGGGGGAATATCCCTGGTGACGATGAGCCGGTGGTCTTCCAGGCCGCGTGTGAAAGCGCACGGACCCAGAACCGGAGTCCTTCGTGCAAAACGGTTCGGAGTCCTTCGGTCGCTCGGGTCACCGTTGCGGCGTGACGTCACGCGCGGTTGACGCATGGTATGACCATGGTATGCAAGTGGTCGAAGTGGTGTGCTTGAAGTCGGATGCTTTGAAGCAGTGCCATTCATCCGCATGTTTTTGTAGTGGTGCATTCATCCGTTTGAGATGGCGAAACATAAGGAAACATATTTTTGCAGGCAAAGGTATTCAACATCACATCAGACATCGCATCCCGCAAGGCTTCAGCAAATGACTGGACGTTTCAGTTCTGCAATTGCTGTCTTTGCAGGCGGACAATCCAAAGAGGCGCGACGCAATGTAGACAGTCTTGTGAGACTTTCTTGAGAGCAAAATATGGGCGGATGTAGCCAGAACTGATGTAATTACAGACCTATAGACTGACCTATGGGCAAGAACTATTACTGGTTATCACTGGGTGTGTAGTTCAAATAGGCAGACCGAACCGCAGGCGTTCCGACCCCCCCCTGGAAGAAGGAAAATGGACCAAAGAGCCTCTTGATCGTGCGCTGCCCCATGGAAATACACACCCATCGACCTAAATATGGCAGTGGATCAAAACCTGGAGCTCCAAGGTGTGGGCAGGTTGATCATGTCTGATGATCTATTATACGCTGTTCATGTTTGGTGGGAAAAAACCGTGTGCCCCCCTGTTTTGACCCACTTCCTTATGGTTACAACGTGTACTAACATCGGACCCTCTCTCCAGGTCCGGCACTACTGCATATGAGCGCTACGAGCCGCGGTCTCAGCGAAACAGGTGGATCAACAGGATGCAGGGCAAAAAGGAAACCGTTGCCAACTGTTCATGAAGCTACTGGAATCCACACACCACCAACCACCAAGTCGGTTTCACGGAGACTCTGTTCTTTACTCCTTAAGCCGCCGCAGAAGCTAACAGACGACAGAGCTGAAGCAAATCTCACCGACCATCAGCGCTCTCAGGAAATACAAGTCAGCCAAAACCATCACGGAGGCACTGGAAAAGGGAGCTGCTCGAGGAGATATCATTAATGACTTCAAGCCGCTCAGCATCTGCGAACAGATCCGTGAAGTCGATTCATGCAATGACGCCGCAGAATGATCGCAATTGTGCTGTGCCAGTGAAAGTGGGTTCAGTTATATAGTGTTCTTTTATGTTCTTTTCTTTATCATGTCCGGTTCAGTATTCCGATGTGCCAGCTGAGGAAAGGTTTCTTTGGACGCCAGTAGAGTGGGCCTGGAGAGCTTTTGGACAAGAGCCTTTGAACGCTCCGAGAGGTCTTGAAAGGTCTTGGCTTCCGCAAATTGATTTCCAGCCGTACTGCTGAAGAGCGGCAGAATGTGCCTGCAAATCGATCGGAACAGCTGCCACCCCGGTGACTATCATACTTTGCAATCGAGGGGCTTTGATTGCCGAGGATGTCGCATTGCTTGCAAAGATGACAAAGTAGTGCACGAGCGCGTCTTCGCGAACTGTTGATTTGAGGTGAGAGTCGACGCCAAAGCTCCATGTAGTCACAACTGGGGTCTGAGTTTCGTGTCATCTACTTCCTGTTGTATGTCATATCTCGCTTGTGTACCAAGGAGCAGACCTGCCACTCGCTCTTTGAGAAGGACTTGCAGTTCTTGTGGTCTGAAGTCTTCCACAGAGCTATCAGCTAGTGAGACATCTGCTGGTGGGGCTTAAGACACCCGACGACCCGGGACAACCCTTGGGGGCTTCGGGACGCCCGTCGTGTTTTAGTAGCGTCCTTGCTCCGTTCGTAGCAATGCCCTTTGCTCTGTTCGTAGCTTCTTGTTCCTAGTAGTAAGGCCAGGAGCCCCTAGGAGCGTCCTTGCTCCGTTCGTAGCTATGCCAGGAGCCCCTACTTGTAGTTCGGATTTGGGGGACGACCCGCCTGGGTGGTGTTTTGAATGGCAAAAAAACCTTTGATTGGGATGGCTCGCGCAGCTCGCCACTGGCCGTCCTTTGTGCTCTTGTCAGGACAAATTGATGTTCTCGCTCCTACTGGCCTTCAAGTCCATGGAGGCCGGCTTTTCTCACCCAACGACGGTCCATAGCTCCTGCAAGAGACGGTCCATAGCCGTGGCACGGTTTCGAAGACATGGTTTCGTAGTGGGGATCTACGAGCTTCTATCTATTTGGGGGGGTCTATATACTGTATATGTCTAAAGTTTTGAGTTGTTGCGTGGTGGGACCAGCGGACGACTAAGCAACCAGCCCAGCCAAACTCTGCCTGTGTCAAAGGTGGATGATGACATCAATTTGGAGGAGAAGTTTCACCTGGCATGCTTGCAATGTGCTTGCCGAGTTGAAGAGATGTGAACATAAGATAATATCTTATAGCCGCGCATAGCCCCATTACCCCCTGCCCTTCTGGGATCAGCTTCTCAGATCACACCAAGGTGATGCTCAAATTGTACCAAATTGTAAGGTGGCCAGTCTTTCATTTCAATCAACAGTTTATCACCGTTTCGGCACGAACACCATGTGTTGGCCAGGCGTCTCCTGTTGATGGCTTTGGGGGGGTGGCACGGCGCACACGCCGAAGCCTCCAGCAGAGTGGCTCACGGAGAAGATGTGGAGTAGGAGCGGCACGGTCGCTGGGATGGTCTGTTGATCCACCATTTTTGACCTCCGTCCAGGTAAGTTTTAGTTGTTTTTTGGGGCATGTCTATATAGAGAACCATGATGTTTTTTTGGGGGGGCATGTCTTATAGAAGGAGGATATGCTTTTCTTTTGGCATCTGATTGTGTCATCGAAATCGAACAGACCTTTGCCCCCGGTTGCAAACAGCGATCGACAAGGTTTCCCGACAATGTAAGGTGTCCTTTTGTCGGAAGTTTGATGCGTTTGATATCGCTTGATGTCCGTTTTCCTTGTGTGTAGGGGCCTGCCTTGTTCCTACATTCCTGCCACAGAACCTTTTCAGTGGGCCCCCCCCAAAAAACTCTAAATGCCAATGCTTTCTGGTCCTATGCTTTCAACCAAGTGCGAAGTTGCCGGCAAAAAGCTGTGCAGCCTGCTTGCTTCAGGATATGCGTCCTCGACAAATTGGGCAAGGGCCCATGGCACAAGTTTGCCAATAACTTCAAGGACTAACTTGGAATCACTTCACGTCCTTTTGCATGAGAGAGGTCCTCAAGTCACTTGCTCATGTACCTATTCAACCGCTCAATACCGCTGTCTGAGCGGGCCCGGCTCATTCCCCTCATTCAGGACAACGTGGATCGGTGGAAGCAGGTCTTTGATTCGGACAATCCCCTGGCAGAGCATTGGCCGGGCAAGGCCGAGAGCACCGGCTTGGGATGAGAAGTACAAATCGGTTGAAACCGGCCTCCTAGCGCTTCCTGTCAGTGCTCTGTCTGGAGACCTGTAAGTAGGAGAGATCCATCGGTGACCCCTTGGAAGCAGCAGGTATGGCCTCCAAACTATGGCCTCTCCCCAAATGCGTGCCTTTTGGTACAGAGAGGACAAAGCAGCGAACTCCGCTGCAGCAGTCGACATCCGATTTTCAAGGATTCAACATAACAAAACAGATGTTAGATATAGACAGCCTTTGGGCCGCCACCGGGTGTTACTGTTCTTTTTTTTCTGGCAGCTTGTCAGGAGCAGATGTCAAGCTTGCAAAGAGCCTTGGTGCTCTTAGCTGTGCCCTGGATGCGAGCAGGATGAGCTCACCACGGTCACGGCATCTTGCGCGTCCGTTGAACCGACACGAAGTCGGCACGGCGGCCCTGCTGAGGTGCGCACGGACTGCACCATCGCGGGACTTCAAGAGGCTTGAGATTTGAAATGCTGAAAGCGTGGTGATTGGTGTGGCCTGCAAAGCATAGAAGCAGCAAAAGATTTGAAAGGGAGGAATCAGAAGAACATGAAGAAGGACACACAAACTGGTTGGTGGTTTGCGTGGCGTGTCTTTGCCTTTGCGGTTAAACACCTGGCATTTGGTCGGAACTCGCCGGAACTCGCCGGAACCCGGCAGGTCATTGCGGCCAATCTGGGCAAGAGCTTCCTGGAGCCTCCAGGGTTCAATTTGGAAAAGACGGGATGCCCAGTGAAACGATGTGAAACGCCGTCCACCGTAGCTGTCCACTGTCGTGTTGCGTGGTCGGTGCGAACTTCGCTTCTTCGCTTCGCTTCCCAAAGCGGGCATTTGCTTGATAAGTCCAGGGATGAGTGGGGTTGGTCAAGACACATCAAGACCTTTTCTTTAAGTTAAGAAGGATGGACCGTCCGTTTTTCGGGCATGTGTCAGGGGCTCTTTTTCCCTTTTCATTTACCCAGCCCGGATGGCTTTTCTCGCCCAAAGCATCATAGAGCCTAGTCTTTACCACCCAAAATTCGAATGATCGGAGGAAAGCTCACTAATTAAGCTGATCTAGGGCTAAGCCAATCCCCCAGATCAGGATTCTTCTGTTGCTGATCTCATGACGACTTCCGCTTTTGGCCAGAACGTAGCTGATCTCCCGAACGACCAGAACGCAACCAGAACGCAACCTCCGCGACAGGGCCTTTCAGACGGCGGCGTCGCCGACGAAGCCGCTGATCTTTGTGCTGTCCTCCGGCGCGGACCCCATGGTGCAGACCTTGGTGGAACTGGTCGCGGTTCGCGGACCGTGGACCGGGGACCGACGCGAACGAGGAACGAGTCGTGTGGAGATGAACGTGTGGAGATGATCTCATTGGATATCGAATGGATGGCAAGCTCAGCTTCAGAAGCGGCATGCAGCATACAGTATACAGATGTATACAGTATAGCTATGTATAAATTGTTCTTTCCAGGTGCCTATAGTGTAATGTACCTCTGATTTACTTCCAATTATATAATACTGATGTCTTTTAGAGAGCCATTGGACGATTGGTTGGGATGGTCTCATCCCCAACTCCATGGGTCTGACAGTGTGACATCGGGTGCGACACGCATACGATCTGCGGAACTGGAGAGAAGGTCCGAGGTGCGTGATCCTACCGCTGTGAGTTGTTTATCATGTTTGTATTTTTTTCAGGTTGAAGTGATACGCCTGGCACAGAAGTTGTCCATGAACGAGCACTACATCACGGCGGGCCTCCTTTATTTTTCTGCTTCATTTTTCCTCATGAAAGAAGAGCTGTAGCTTCGAACGGTTGCCAGGTCTCCTTGGGTCAAGGCCAAGGTCCAAAGGCAGGGATATTCTTCAGCCGAACTCTTGCCTCAGGGGTTAGCCCACCTATTGATTTGATTTGGCTAGATGGTGTATGGGTCTCTGAAAAGAAGAGCTGCTGCTTGCTGATACTGTTTTTTCAGTGTCCAAATGTGCAGGCTTCACAAGCGATCAATGACGGAGCTGAGCAAGGGTTGTGGGTGATCCTCCAAAATTGCTGGCTCCTCAGGACTTCGGCGTTTGGATGCGGTTCGGTTTGTTGGTTCGGCTTTTTGGAAACGAACCCGGATGTATTCGAAATTCATGGTCATCCGAAATCGGGGCCTATCATTTTCCACGTAACGATGTCGATTCTTTCACAGAGTGTAGTCTTGGTTGCAAGGTCATTTGGCATCGTCCTGGATGCCCACGTTGGAAGTCATGGTGGAAGGACTTAGTCTCTCTCCGGACAAGGCGTGCTGCGGCGCGGCTAAGACACGTATGTGATGTGCGTTTTCTGCGCCGTTTCTGTCGTCGCTCGCTTTCACACGCCGATCTTCGATTGGAAAGGACTGATTTCGTAGTTGTTCTTCTTCGGAAGGAAAGAAAGCGCTTGCAAGTTTCTTTTTTTGGTGACTGAACTTCTGTGGTCTGAATTGCTTGACTGTCAGCTGTGGTTTTTCTTCTTTTAGGGGGTCGGTCCCTCTCCAGTTCTTGGGGCGGTTGGGTTTGCGTCTCCAGTGGCTTCGTTGGGCGCTGTAGGTTGCTGACCATTTCCGCCTGTGGCTGCCCGTGGCTTAGAGACATCTGGCCACCACGAGACATAGGGAGTGCTCGGGCCCTTTTTTTCAAGACTCAAGACATGAACGAACGAGAGACGCGAGCGGGTTTTTCGGTTTGTAGCAAAAAAACCAATCAGATAATTTTCAGTGAGTTCACCCATGTGACCAGATTCTGGAAAATCATGTTTGAGGACTGCGATGCCTTCGCCCGACTTTCCCATCTCTGTCCTGCAGAATGGCATGAAAATGACCATTGAGCCACCCAAAGGTGCCAAAATGATAGAGCTAAAGCCGCAGCCAAGCACGACAGTCCTGGAAGCCACAAACAAGGATTGTGTTGAGCTTGGTAGGTCTGAATGGCTCACACTAAGAAAGAATTGAATGATTCCAGAATGAGAGAGATGCGCAGACGCTTCAAAGACATTCCCAAATTCTCAAACCATCCAGCGGGGAAGGGCAGCACACAAAAACAATGTGGTTGACAATTGCAGGCGACTGCACGTGTAGGTGGGTGCCACTTTTCCGGGCCCAACGGGAGGGGTGTGCTGTTGACTCGTCATGCAAGTCCGGCGCCAGGTTTGAAATCCAACCTGCTCAGGGCCTTCAATTCCATTGACCCCGACTGGCCAAGGGCCTCAGATGGACCTCGAAGCAGCGGTTGTTGCACGCTACGATGGACTAATTACTACAATCTATGGGACGGTGAACGAGGGGCAACGGTGTGGACGCATTGAACCTCCCACGTCCGGAGACAGCCGCGGAAGCGGCTGTTGCAGCGTTGAGTCCGAGTACCAGCCAGTTAGTAGCTGGAAGACTTTCGTGGTTCTGCCATCTTCGATACATGGAAGCAAATCAACATGAAGGCTGAAACAATATCAGACCAACCATACGTAGTGCTGTCTTTATGGCATGGACGTGGGGAATTGGGGGAGATCGACCCCGGGTTGCTCCTGCACACTCAGGTTTGCGGAAGGCTGTACAAAGTCCACAGAGTGCAAGCAAACCTTCAGGCTCAGCAGATGCGCACTTCTCCGCTCAATCTTCTCTTCTCCTCATTCCTCACCTGCTCAATCTTTCATTTCGTATCCTCCTCTTTTTGCTTCTTCTTTTCAATTGAATGTTCCAGCAGTTTTTTCGGTGGATCCAAATGCCGTGATGCCCAGGAAGATGCTGTTTGGCTTGTGCTTCTTCCATGCCTTGATCCAGGAGCCTGACACCATTTTCATGCAGTCTTGCATTAGAATAGGGAGAACCCCCATCCGTCCAAATGGTTGTTGGTCTATTTTTACCTTTTCAAGCCATCGAACCGCACGGGGGTGGCCTCCCTCGTCTCCTTTGAACGAACATCTCCAAGTTTTGTCGCAAGCGAGGACACCAGAGCCCCACAGCCCCCCCTCCTTTTTGGCCGGAGGGCGTCCACCCCCGACCCGAAACCGACACCAGACCCCCAACGAATGGCATACAGTACCAATCCAATGAATGCCTCATCCTTTGAGAACGATCTCTCATTTTCGGCCTCCAGTCGTACCTTCGTTTTCGCAGGTGTTTGGGGTGGGTGCCAGGAGGGTACGACCTTCGTACCTTCGTTTCGTTTCGAACCCCGGTCGATGGGGGACCGAGAGAGAACGGATGACGGCCGGGGACTTCCGTCGTCCGTCCGCGAGGAGCGTTGTACCTACGGTCCATTGGGCTGGAACATTCCGCCGCCCTGGCCCTTTTGGAACCATCCGAGCCACCATTTGGCCTGGCAGGTCTTTTAGACCGAGCAGATGCGGCGGTTTATGCATCTTGATAGGTGAAACACCTGGCCTGAAAGATATGATTTACTCGAAGTTTTGTTTTACTAAGATGTGTCGACGTTTGGCTTGTATGTCCAGCATACGAGCCAACACCCAAAGAGAGAAAAACTGCATATGCTGTTTTGTAGCCCGCATGGGGACCTTCCCGGACACTGGGACGATGAAGACGCTTCGACACCAAAAGCTTTTGATGACCCATCCATGAATTATCAGGAGTTCTCACAAATAAGCTTCGTCTGCAATCTCGTCATATTGACGTCAGCAGTTTGCTTCGACCGGGCCTGAAAAACGACGGCCGTTCCTGTCGGACGACGGACCCTCGCCCCAGGCGTCGGTGACGGGGGGGCGGCCGCCAGGTACCAGTTCTCCGAGCCCGATCGACAAATCTGCATGATGCAACTGAGGACAGAGAGACCGCCCGGTGTCGAATCGGGTGGCCGACCATAGGTATCCATGGGTTAAGGTAGGGGCCAGGTAAGGTGTGTCCAGAAACCAGCAGAGACCGTCGGTGAAAGACTATCACTTTTGGGGAAGGGCCTACAACATCCTACAACCTAACCATCATCATCCACTCTTACTGGTACTGGGATATACCCAAGGTTGAGGCGGCTAAGGTCTAATTTGTCCTTTTGACCCGTGGGGTCCACCGAGCTGAAATGAACCGTGAAAAACGGGCCACCGACGACTTGGCCGGTGTGTTGTCCACCCACGGGAACTGTGGGTAGCTGGAAGTCAACATGTGTTTCCCCGACCCCTTTCACACTAACTCAATTGCGTAAAAAGGTGAACGGAAAGGTGATGGAACACCTAAGTGGTTGAAAGAACCCAGGGCTGGACAGGGCTGGACACACACATACAGAACACATACAGAACCTTGGCCACATGTCGAAAGCGTCGCACGTGGAGGATGTTCCTGGAAGAGAATGAGACAGTTCCATACTCCGCGCTGCGGTACACAGCTGCAGAGGCGCTTCGACAGAATGCGACAGATTGGTTGGAAGGGTTCCAGGAGGTTCACGAAGGGTTGCCCTTTTTGCCTGATTGGATACTCTCCTTAAAAAGGTAGCCAAGACTCGGTCATGACGCATCCCCCCCCAAAAGCATGCTAGTCCTTTGCCAAACCGCTTTGGTGCAAACCGGGCCGGCTCCGCCGGGGCACCGCCGGTTCCAACAGGCCAACTACGGTGGACGCGTCACTGATGTGCACGACCGCCCGGGGCACTTGGAGGGGTCGGGGTGGTCGAAGCCCAAGGACTCAAGGAGGAAAGAAAAAGTGTGACACACTCCATAGGGGACTGGCATATGGATGTATACGTGCATCTTTTTAGAAGGGGTTTCAGGTGGTTTCAGGGGTCAAGTTGTGTTTGGGATGATAGGCTGATAGGTGTTATGTTCGTGCGTTCCGCGAATGTGGAGCACTCCTCCCGATACTTGTTTGGTCCATTGATGTCCATTGATAGGCACGCGAGGTGAAATAGCTCATTGTTTGAGGTAGGTGCATCAACTTCCTTCTCTCCGACTTCTACTGCCCGGAGATTTTGAAGGACGACTACAAGTTCTCGGTCATGCCGGCAGAATCGTTGGGATTCTTGTTTCGGATGCCTGCATTTGTGTTAGACATGAACCAACTTTGGATAGAACATGCTAGAAAAGGAGAACACCCAGTGGTCAAGATGAGCAGGAAGACTCGGACTCGTTCTCTTTTTCGTGGGCTCGTCCCAGAAATCAAAGAACTCGTCCGCAAACAACACTCGTCCAAAGCAACGCCAGCCCTCCGGCGTCTACTACGCGCCTTCCTATGGAACCACCCTGGAGCCTTACCTCGAGTGCGACCAACAACGCGGCGGAAAGATGTGCAAAGATTGGAAGTGAGACCGATGGTCGGTGAAAACACCGTTTGGGGATTGGTACCTTGAAACAGACCCTGAAGAAGAGCGAGATCTAGACAGACATACTTTTAAAGGTTCCATGTAGGTTTTGTGCGGGGATTATGTCGCCAAAAGGATCCAACAGGCGATTTGTCACTTGCTGGGGTGTTGATCCACATCCAAATCCGCAGGAGGAGGGTGTTTTTGAGTCTAGACATGAGTGCAAGACTCGTTGTCAGGTACATTCGCAACCTGCCGATCAATCAAATGCCAGAGGTCATTGCTGCACCGAAACGGGGGTCAAACAGAAGACAGAACATCATCTCCGCCTGTGACCAAAAACTACTCAATAGGTCAATGGCAGAACATATACCCACTCGAAACCACCAAGACTGCACTAGCTCGAGTGAAGACATTCCGCTCAGTCGTGTTCTTTTTTGCCACGCGCTCACTGAATTTGGCAGTGCCCCCGCAGTGCCGCGCCTCTTCGCGCCGTCGAACGGAACGCGCTCCGTTCGTCGACTATTTTTCGCGCGCGAGGCCTTCGGTCTCCATGCGAATGCCAATCTCGTGGCCGCCATCAGCGAGACCCTGCGGCTCCTGGGCACCGCCGCCTCGCTGCAACCGAAGACCGGAGGAGGCGCGGTGCCGGTTTCCCTGCGTAGTGACCTGCGTTTCGCTGCGTAGTGACCTGCGGTTTCACAGTGGTGCGATGCTGCGCCATGTGGAGCTGGGAATGAGTCCCTGTCAGAGCTGGTAGGTGGACAATGAAGGTTGGACAGAAAGGACATGAAAGGACCCTTTTGGAAGCGGAAAGGAAAGAACTTTGAACAACGTTTCAGCTTGAGATTGTTGGTTTGTTCGTTTATTGCCGGAAACATGAGGATCTGATGTTTCTAAGCAATCGCAGCTTTTTTTACACATCTCTTTTCAGGTGGTGGGGGAGCCTCTCAAGATGAGATCATCACAGAGGCAAGCCGATTCCCAGACCGTGTGGATGCGTGTGGCAACAAAATTGGAACATTGTTTCGTGTTGGGTTCCTGCCTTCTATCACTTTCGATGATGCAAGTCGTTGCAGAATGAATGGTTCCTTTTTTGGTCTTCTTTCTCAGTGCTGGAGTTGGAGCAGCAGCAGCAGTACCGTAGAGGGTCTTGTGCGACCAAACCGTCTCATGATCAAAGTCTCATGCTTTTCCGGCCGCCTTTTTAGTGCCTCAATTGCTACGTGCGTTGCCGTGCGTTGCCATGCGGCCATGCGCGGCGACACCGCAGGCGGCGTCCAAATACTTGGAGGATGTGAAGCCCCCCTTCGACACCGAGGCGGCCCGAACCTTCCTGGGCTTCGGTGGTTTCGTTTCGACGAACACGACGGACGGAGACCATGAAGACGCGGAGGACGGAGGACGGAGAGGAGAGTTGAGACGTAAGACGTGGAGCGACCGCAGGCAGCCAACGTGAACTACCCAGTCGATTACAATGAGTCCATGAATACGGTGTTGAATCAAGTGCCTTGACGGCAGGCGTGTAGCTCAAATAGGGAGACCTTCCAGATTCACCCCTAGAAATAGACTAACACCCATTGGTTGGGTTTTTCGTGACAGATGCAGCTCAGAGTGATTTGTTGGATTTGCCGCGGTGATTCTCGATCTAGTTTATTCCAGAAGAGGACTGGTTGATGACTTAGATGACTCTGGTAGATGACTTTCGTAAGTTTTGCACACTCTACCACTTGTAAGGAGTTCTTCATGAAATATGGCCTCACCCCCAGAGTTTGAGCTTCTGACAGATTCTTTGTGGCTCAGACCGCATCGCCGATGGGTGTAGGCATCTACCCGAGAGGGCGGCATACTTACAGGGCAAATTCTTGTAGCGGTCCATGGCTATACAGTACATATTTATACAATACATTTATTTCTGACTGCTAATTTGGATTAATCTAATTTCAGGCTGTTTTAGGGTGTTTACACAGCTTGGAGCCACTAGGGTAGCTTCAAAGAAAAAATTGTCTGGTGCAAATCCATTAAATTCAATTTGGTCAAAACGTGCCAAAAAGATCAAAAATGCATGGAAACCAAGCAACATGAACAATGCTCATGAAATGAACGCAGTGGAATCTCAGAATCTCAGTGAAAATACATGAAAATACTAAACCTAGGGTCACAACTTGCACTCCTGAGGTTTGAGAAGTGCAAACGAATCGCGTTTGGCTTAATGTAGCCGTTTGCCTTATAATCTATACCTGCAACCTCGTGGATGTTTCAACAGACCTGGTTTAGGTCTGTGAACGACATAAACTTCCACAACCGAAACACGTTCAGGAAAAAACGCCGGGCTCAAATATAAGGCTGTGATTCCAAAAGAAGTTTTTCACGCCGCAGATCGGGAAAAGAACACTCTGAGGAGGTTCCAGGTGTACTCCCTATAGCCTATGACCTGTCCCTCTCTCGCTCTCTCTCTTTGTTTTTTTTGGAAGACATGGGAAGACCCAAGACTCAAGACCATCTGACTGGCCCCCCAAAAAACTCCAGGAAGTTACTGTACTCAGCTACTTTCCCTGACATCATCGAAGACAAAAAAAAATGACATCATATTTATGAAATCAATTGAACACATATGAAATCCGAATACCAAGCAGGTACCATCCACTTGCATGTTTATTTGAGGGAGGGTCAATATAGTGGTTCTTTGTGATTGGTGACTCCTTAAAGCCTGAGATCGGAGAAACAAGCACTAGGAGGGTCCACACTAGGAGGGTCGAGGTATACTCCCTATCACCTGACCCCCCCCTCTCTCTCTCTCTTCTCTCTTCTCTCTTCTGTCTCTCTCTCTCTCTCTGTCTTTGTCTGTCTCTCTCTCTCTCTCTCTGTCTTTGTCTGTCTCTCTCTCTC